CCGAACCGCTTACACTCTTTCGTCACAAGGTCATAAGCGTAGTCAGCACTCGGGTAACACGTCAGCTGACGTCGTTTCCAAAACAAAGTCCATCCACTAAGCCGTGGTCTGGAGTACCACTCAAGTAGCGTAAGCACCCTCTTTCCCCATAGCGTAGTGTGTGTGGTCGCAGCACAGACAAGGTACTTGCTGAAGATTTACGCAACGTGCGCAAATGTCCGGGCTTGAGGGCGAGACCAGATATTGTAGTGCACCAACGAGCTCTCGGTACGCGGGTCGGGGAGTCATCTTTCGCATCTGTGACCACCTCAGCGGGCAGCGCTTCCGGTGTTGCAACCGCGTTGCACCCCTCCATGTGAAATCGCTTTAGCACCTCCGTAATGTGTTGCCGCTGGCAAAATACCGCATGTCGACGCTCGCTGTCGATCAGTATCTCCACGCCTAGTAGATACTTGACTGGTCCGAGAGATGTGAGTTCATACTCCTCACTGAGTTGCATAGCAACCTTAGCGCAAAGGTCATTAGGGCCGAGGAGCAGTAGGTCGTCGACGTACACCGTGAGCAACATGGTGACTTCTCCTCCCACTTTCCTGGCGTAGAGTCCGTAGTCAGAGTCGAGGCGCTCGAGTCCGATCTTCGTCAGGAACTTGTACAATGTCTTGTTCCAAACGCGAGGCGCTTGCTTTAGCCCATACAAACTCTTCTGTAGCTTGCATACATAGCGCGTAGAGTCTTCTCCGAAGCCTGGAGGCTGCTCCATGTAGACCTCCTCGTCGAGGTCACCGTACAAGAACGCGGTCTTGACGTCGAACTGCAAGATGGCCCATCCGCGTTGCAGCGCGTATACGATCACGCATCTGATCGTCTCAAATCTGATAACAGGTGCGTATGTTTCACTGTAGTCGATGCCCATGCGTTGTAGAAAGCCTCTGATCACTAGTCGAGCTTTATATCGCTTAATCCGGCCCGTAGAGTCTCTCTTGAGCGCGTACACCCACTTGCACGAAATGACACGCTTGCCCTTGGCCTCCGTGCGTCGCACGAGCACCCAAGTTTCGTGCTGTTGCTGTGAGTCCATCTCAACTTGCATCGCTGCTTTCCACTCCTTCCACTTCTTTGACCTTGCCGCATGCTTGTGACTAATGGGGATCTGCACATCCTCGACGTTCTGCTTCGTCACATTCGTCACTACGTAGTCCTTGAGTCGGGCGGATGGTTGTCGCTTCCGCTTCGGTCGCGACGTAGCTGCACTGTCGTCTGGCGACGACTTCTGCGTCGTGCATGGCTCCCAGTTCTCCTCTTCGTGAGCATCACGTCGACTGTCCTTGGCCTTCGAGGCTCCCACTCGATTTGCACATGCTTTCGCTTTATTCTTGCCTTTTGTGTTCTTCCGCTTGGAACCTCCCACTGAAGCTGCTGGCTTCTTAGCGTCCTCGCTTGGTAGCTGTGGGTCATCACTTCGAGTCGCAGACTCGGCTTCAACTTCAACACCTTGGTCATGGCTCTTACCAGCAGTAGCCAGCTTCGCCATTTCCGCTGCTCGCTTTTCTGCAAGCTCTGCAGGAAGCTGCAGGTACGTAGACATTGTCGTCCGGATCGGCACGATCGGGATCTCCGCAGGTAAGTCGTAGTCTTATTTTAGGATAAGATTGAGTGAACTCTGGCGATTTATGGTTTTTTAGATGTGTCTTTGTAGGAATAGTTCTGCTGTTTCTAAGACGTGTCTTTAAGACATTCCTTTAAAAATCGTGCGTTATTATTGCTTTGGGGAAACTTAGAGCGGTTATTTCGTGCGTGCAGAAATTGAGGTTGTACTCGTATGCTCTGCATAAGAATATAGCTTTATTTGACGCATTTTATGCGTTGCTCTGGGTATTTTGCGCTGAAGCGATGTGGAATTGCTGACGAGTGTGTGCTTTCGGGATAGTGACCTGACTGTGTGTGCTTGGATGCGAGGAAGCGTTTGCTGACGTTGCGAGGTGCTACATCAACGCTCTGTCGGTGCCGGTGCGAAGGTGTGCTGCGGTTGGTTGTATAGTGTTTCGTGCAGTTTTCGGATTGTGTGTCATTATGCGATACCTTCTGTGGTGCGTTTTGCGCTGGATTTTTCCGGTGAAAAGTTTCAATTTCGGGTAGAACCGTTTTTGATCTGGGGCTAGTTATGCGGCGTGCGGAGGGGACTACAACCCAAAGTATGCTGCGTCGTGCTCTATTATTCGCTTCTTGATCTACCTATTTTTAGGTGGAACTGTTGAAGTGAGGATCATATTTTTGTCTTTCTGTGCAAAAAGATTCTCGGCTATTAATGGCGGCTTTGAGAAAAGCTGCGAGTGGCCTAGCGACTGTTTCGGCGGTTGCGGGGCTGTTTGCGGCTGGCCTCTGTGTTGTTGTTTTGTGCTGGGGGCGACTTGTCATCTTCTTTAGTATGGAGGATATAAACCTGGTTGATCCTGCCAGTAGTCATACGCTTGTCTCAAAGATTAACCCATGCATGTCTAAGTATAAACAATTTAGTACTGTGAAAGAAAGAAAAGGCGAATATATCATTTATAGCAGACTCGATAGTTAAGCCAACACTGACCTAAAAGTAATTCCAGAAGTAAAAGAAACAAGAAAGAACACGAAA